AAAGTGACTGGATCAATTTAGCCGGTTTTTCCAAATGCGAAATAACGCTACGTGACGATGTTCGGGAATTATTTCCTGGTAGATGCGGGTATGATGATTTTGATGGAAAGCAGGAAGTTGGGAATTAGGTTTCTGGGTAACATCGTAATCCTTCGTTATACCTACCTAAATTTACAGACGTACCTATATTATCCCTATACGTACCTAAAATTTTCGAAATTATTGGATAGTTTTATAATTAACAAGGTTCTTATGCTAACTGTATACTAACATCCGCGAGGATTTTAACACAGTTCACTAAATCTTCGTTATACCTACCTAAATTTATAGACGTACCTATATTACTCTTATATGTGCCAAAAATTTTCGAAATTATTGCGTGGTTCTATAATTAACAAGGTTTCTATGCAAACTGTATACTAACATATGCGAGGATTTCAACACGGTTGACTAAATCTTCGTTATATCTATCTAAATTCATAGACGTACCTATATTACCCTTATATGTGCCAAAAATTTTCGAAATTATTGCGTGGTTCTATAATTAACAAGGTTTCTATGCAAACTGTATACTAACATATGCGAGGATTTCAACACGGTTGACTAAATCTTCGTTATACCTACCTAAATTCATAGACGTACCTATATTACCCTTACATGTGCCAAAAATTTTCGAAATTATTGCGTGGTTCTATAATTAACAAGGTTTCTATGCTAACTGTATACTAACATCCGCGAGGATTTCAACACGGTTGACTAAATCTTCGTTATACCTACCTAAATTCATAGACGTACCTATATTACCCTTACATGTGCCAAAAATTTTCGAAATTATTCCCATCTAAAAAAATTATGCAGAAAAATTCACTAAAACACTGACTGGCAATAAAGCATAAACTCTGTTTCAGAAAACGCGAAATATATGAAAAATAATTCACTATAAAAGTATTCTCATTAGATAAAACAAATTTCCCATAAAATCGAAACACTTTCAAACAAGATTACAAAAAACTATGACACCCTCCCAATATTTCAAGAAAGTAAAAAAAAAAATTCGAATTTCCTGTCAAATATCGTTTAACTCGACAGCGAAGGACGTCTTCACGAACAAAATGGCGCGTGAGAAAAAAAATGTCGCGACAGGGTTATGAGGCGCGAGGGAGAGTTTCCCGGAGGGATTCCATGGAATCCCCATGGCCGGATATGAGGCGTGTTTCCTTAATTGGCCGATATCTTTCGTTGCTACCCGCTCGATTTATCGTCCGTGGGGATTCGTTAAACAGCGTGCACACCGAGGCGTAACAACGACGACGCCTGAGGGGGAGGTGGTGGAAGACGGAGCGCCGCAGAGGTCGCGCGAATTGTAAATCGACGCCATAAATCGACGGAGCTGCGGAGGAGACGGAGAAACGGCTAGGGGAATAAAGAGACGGGCGAAATAGCGTTCGAGAGAGCGTAATCGATGGCCGCCGTTTTCGAGCCCCCTGTTCCGAGTTTAGTGCTCCATTTGTTCCATGCAACGCTGACTTTTCCTTCGCGCCGCCAGGTGGCACTGGATCACCCAATGCCGCGCGGCAAATTCGAATCGAGAATTTTAACGAACTTGACGATATTTTTATTTCACACGCCAGTTTTTATTCTTTTATTTAGACATAATTACACATAATTAGCGCTATGCAGATATTAACACGTTGACTGTCACGGTGGTCACCGATATTTATCTACTTTTTGAAAATTTGAACAACGTGGATAAATAGAGAGTATTGCGAAATGAAAAATGTGCTATTTTTTCTTTCTTTCGAAGCGTTATTTAATAATTTATTATGTTCCGAGAATAATGAAAATTTTATTGTGACTTAAGTATATGGTACAAAAGGTATGTAGCAGTCAACGTGTTAAAAATTTAATTGAAAAATTAAGTGGAGTAGATAAATTTATATATATTTTCAATTACAGATGGAAGATTTAATTCGAGAATTTAACTCGCCTAAAATTTAATGGAGATATTGAAAAATGACACTGAATATAGAGAACAAAGTAACTATTAACTCTCAAAGTACTGTGAATTTAATTTACTAAGCTTACTATTACCCCAAATTCTCGTTTCTTAATTTTTAATTTATATTTCTGTCACAACCAATTTTCCAATAATTATTTCCTTTCTGGCTTATTAAAATTTTAATTTAAGGATTAACTGGGTACCATATTAATTGGAGAAAATAATTTGAAAATTACGTATTTAGTTTGAACATATTTATAAATATTTTCAATTGTATATTAAAATTTTTATTTGAGAATTAACTGGATAGAATATTAATCAGAGAATGTAATTTGAAAATTAAGTACAATAATTTGGACATATTTATAAATATTTTCAATTGTATATTAACTCTTTGCACTCATATGTCACGCTGGAGGTGACAATGCTAATTTATTCTAAAACTCGTATGTCAATTTATAATAATATAAATAAATAAAATAAATATAACACGTTGAATTCTACCACTGTAAATTATTTTAATTCATTTAGCTAAAAATAAATACAAGTTGACACCCAACAACTTTGAAAATAAAGTACAATAATTTGAACATATTTATAAATATTTTCAATTACATATATTAAAACTTAAATTTGAAAATTAACTGGATAGAATATTAATTAGCGAATTTAATTTGAAAATTAAATGGTTTGGACATATTTATAAACATTTTCAATTGTACATTAAAACTTAAATTTGAGAATTAACTGGGTAGAATATTAATTAAAGAATGTAATTTGAAAATTAAGTACAATAATTTGGACATATTTATAAATATTTTCAATTATATACATATTAAAACGTAATTCTGAGAAATAAGTGAGTTGAATATATTTACATATAGCAAGTTCAACTCGAAAATTCCGTAAATTACAATTAATATTATAATTAAATATACGCTATCTCTCTAATTTATCGCTCTATCACGCGAATTTTAGATTATTATTATTGAGATATTATTGAGATTATATATATACTAAACCTTTATACTCGACGATTTTTTATCTAAAGAAGAGCAGGAGTTCAAAGATTTCCTGCTATAAATCTGACGATATTTCTTGGAACAGTAAATAAAAATTCGTATAATAATTAACATATAGAATTATTTGATTTCGATACCTCGTACACCGTTACATTATCTTAAATTTGACATATTAGTGAGTATCTATCTTTGAAATTTTATCAAATGGTGAGTGAAGGGAGCCTCTCGAGTGCAAAGGGTTAATTGCAATATAAATAATTATCACTTTCCAGGTCTCTCTACGACCCACACATACCCTAAGGTAATCCTGCCAATCAAGAAACAGGAACTCGAGACACTGAAATCTCGCCAAAGGAGGACGCATAAAGCACTGTCCCTAACCCGAGGAAACCACTTGAACATCCCGATCCAAACGCCGATCATCCGAATCCATAAGACGTTCGAACCCCCATAGAGCCAATTAACGTCAGACGTGTCTGAAAAATCACGGAATTTCAGTATCCACCCGGAACATAGATTTCCACTACGGCCATCGATTCTCCGATTCTCCGACTGGACTTGGCACTAGCCAGCCTTCATCCTCGCCAATCCGCCGAGCCGGTGCGAGGCGTTCGCCCGATTCCGGGCGATATCGAGCGGCGCTCATTCCCGTCGATTACAGCCGATTATCGAGCAGCAGGATCTCGATTGGCCTCTCTATGCTAGACCCTTAGCGGGGCCCTCGTGCTCCTCGGCGCGGCGTCAAACAATTAAGGCTGACTTACGCGTGGCCGAGGCGCGTAGCAGCCGCGTTAAAAGAGTAAACGAGTTACCGGCCTTGCCGCGCATCAGATAATCCGAGCCGTGGCCCTGTCATCTCGGGAAGAATTTACAGGCGACACCGCGGGACCTAGCACACACCGTGCTATCCACGGGCCATCGCCGTCCCGCGAAATCTTGATCCCCGTCGGCGAAGCGTGCGCGGCTTTTCCACGAAAAACGCGTGCTTAGCCGCGATCCTCCGAGGCGTCGCGACGCGTGAAACTCGAGATCCATGGCTAATTATCGCTCGCGGTTACGCCATGGCATTCGTTTGATTAATCGCGGATGAGTTTCGGCGAGCTCCTCTTCATCGCGGGGGCCGTTAGCGTGGGGGGTGAAGAGAGGCTGAAATATAGTAGATAGGAAGGTAGATAGGATTGGTGTTGGGGAAAAATACGAACGAATGTTTTTGGTACGAATGGTAGTGTTATTACACTTTGGTAGTTTTGGGTTTTGGTACTTTGGTGTTGGGTGGCACGTGAACGCGTAGATTAAGGGGGTCCGAATTGGGGGCTCGTTTGTGCGGGGACCGGTGAGATTTAGGGGGTAGCAAGGTTGATGAGATTGGTGCTAGGGAAAAATAGTAACGAATGTTTTTGGTACGAATGGTAGTGTTATTACACTTTGGTAATTTTGGGTTTTGGTACTTTGGTGTTGGGTGGCACGTGAACGCGTAGATTAAGGGGGTCCGAATTGTGGGTCCGTTTGAGCAAGGACCGGTGAGATTTAGGGAGTAGGAAGGTTGATAAGATTGGTGTTAGGGAAAAATGCGAACGAATGTTTTTGGTACGAATCGTAGTGTTATTAGACTTTGGTAGTTTTGGGTTTTGTTACTTTGGTGTTGGGTGGCACGTGAACGCGTAGATTAAGGGGGTCCGAATTGGGGGCCCGTTTGTGCGGGGACCGGTGAGATTTAGGAGGTAGCAAGGTTGATAAGATTGGTGTTAGGGAAAAATGCGAACGAATGTTTTTGGTACGAATCGTAGTGTTATTAGACTTTGGTAGTTTTGGGTTTTGTTACTTTGGTGTTGGGTGGCACGTGAACGCGTAGATTAAGGGGGTCCGAATTGGGGGCCCGTTTGTGCGGGGACCGGTGAGATTTAGGGGGTAGGAAGGTTGATAAGATTGGTGCTAAGGAAAAATACGAACGAATGTTTTTGGTACGAATGGTAGTGTTATTACACTTTGGTAGTTTTGGGTTTTGGTACTTTGGTGTTGGGTGGCACGTGAACGCGTAGATTAGGGGGGTCCAAATTGTGGGTCCGTTTGTGCAAGGACTGGTGAGATTTAGGGGACAGGAAGGTTGATAAGATTGGTTCTGAGGAAAAATACGAATGAATGTTTTTGGTACGAATCTTAGTATCGTGGTGTTATTATAATTTGGTATTTTGGGGTTTTTGAAGTATGGGATTTTGATACATGGTTATGGTTTCGATTTTTGGTATTTTTGGGTTTTGGTACTTTGGTGTTGGGTGGAACGTGAACGCGTAGATTAAGGGGGTCCGAATTGGGGGCCCGTTTGTGCGGGGACCGGTGAGATTTAGGGGGTAGGAAGGTTGATAAGATTGGTGCTAAGGAAAAATACGAACGAATGTTTTTGGTACGAATCGTAGTATCGTAATGTTATTATACTTTGGTATTTTGGGGTTTTTGGAAAATGGGATTCTAATATGTGATTATGGTTTCAGTTTTTAGTAGTTTGATGTTGGGAGACGCGTGAACGTGTAAATTAAGGGAGTTTGAATTGTGATTGACCATTTTGGAATTTTCTAATTTTGGTACTTTGATGTTGGGAGATACGTGAACGCGTAGATTAAGGGGGTCCGAAATGGGGCCCTGTTTGCGCGGGGAACAATGAGATTTAGGGGATAAGAAGGTTGATAAGATTGGTATTGGTGAAAAATACGAACGAATATTTTTGGCACGAATCCTAGTATCCTGGTGTTATTATAATTTCATATTTTGGGGTTTTTGAAGTATGGGATTTTGATACATGGTTATGGTTTCGATTTTTGGTACTTTGATGTTGGAAAACATGTGAAACATGTGAGTAAATTAAGGAAGTTTGAATTGTGATTGACCATTTTGGAATTTTGGAATTTTGGTAGTTTGATATTGGAAAACATGTGAACGTGTAAATTAAAGAAGTCTGAATTGTGTTTGATCATCTTGGAATTTTGGAATTTTGGAATTTTGGTATTTTGATGTTGGAAGATACGTGAATATGTAAATTAAGCAAGTCTGAACTGTGATTGGTATCAACGAGGAACAAGGGGGTTAGCAAAAGTGTTTTTAGTATCACAGTTTAGACAAAGGGAGCATTTTGTACCAAGATAGTATATCTAACACGATTTTATAATGGGTGTTCCAAAATTTACATAAGAAGTAATTTTGATAGAAAACACGGTTTTTTAATTAAAAATTGTAAATATTGCTCGACAATGAAAACGTATTGATTTTTCGAGTAGAGTCCCATTCTTAATAACTCTGAACTGATAGTTCTTACTCTGTCCTTCTTTCTTTGTTGGCAATACTGTACCGTATAAATGGCGCCAAATTCAAATCTTGCCTGAATTTTAGGATACGTTATATAATATAAAACCGTAAAAATTACCGTAATACAATTATTGAGGAATTGTTTAAAAGAAAAATTAGGAAATCCTTTTTCCATAATAAAAAATAGAAATCATGAAACTAAAGAAAGTTGGAGAAAATCTAATCCTAATCTTTCCACCATACTAATTAATAAGTCCGTTATTAATCCCGTCATCAAATGAGTCATTTTCGTCACACTAATATAAAATTTCCAGTCAAATGTTAAAGACTATATATTCTACGTTATTCTTGCATCCCATATATCAACTCAAATAAAACCCGCATAAAATAATTCCATAACAATTCCCATCATCCCTGCCAAATACATCCGTCGTCAAAACAAAAAATTAAAAAAAAAAGAACCGATTTAAAATCCCAAAAATGCCCATATAAAAATTTCCAATCACATATCAAAGACTGCATATTTTACGCTTCTCTTGTACCCCATATATCAACCGAAACCCCCGTATAAAATAATTCAATAACAATTCCCATCATCCCTACCAAATATACCCGTCGCCATAACGAAAAATTTAAAAAACCGATTAAAAATCGGAAAAATTCCGAAGCTTTCGAGACCACGTCACGAAGCAGGTCTAAATTCATATTTCCCACGAGATTCCGCAGCGGACAGCCGAAAAGGAGGCGCAGAGGTATCCATCCTCTGAGAGGCAGAAAACGCAGCGGACCCGGCCAACACGCGTACGCGTGATCCGTGATCTGGTTTACTTATGGTCACGCGAGCGCCATCTCGGATTATTTGTTCCTGTGCGGTGTCCGCGGCCGCCGCGCGTCACGAAGAGGCCACCCTTGCGGTGGTGGTGGCTGCTCGCCGGGGGAGAGAAGGAGTTCGCTTACCAGGCATGCAGACGCAGCGGAAGGTCCCCGGATCGTCCAGACACGAGCCGTCGTTCTGACAGGGATGAGACTCGCACTCGTTCACGTTCGTCTCGCATCTCGGCCCCGTGAAGCCTTGCGTGCAGTTGCACGCGAATGAACCGGGCGTGTTCACGCAGATACCGTCGTGCTCGCATGGTGATCCTGCAACAGACGAGAGATTTGAATTATTTAGATGTAGAATTTAGAATTTAGATTTAGATCTAGAATTATTAACATTGGAATACGTGTAATTTAGGCTAGGAGTCTTGAATCGGTATTGCTTTCCGATTTCAAATTTCTGATTTCAGGGTACTTGGGCTTTTGATCTTCTTTGTGTGGTACACTACGTGTAAGTTTGTTCATATTTCTAGATTATTTGTTAGACAATATTGGTTGCAGTAGAAGGAACCCGTTCTGAGATTTGGATTAGGAGTATTAAATATATTGTGGTACTCTAAAGTATAGTTATGTTTTTACACTATTACTAAATACTATACTATACTATACTATTACTATAGTTATACTAGTACTAAGTACTCTACTATACTGTACTATTGCTATAGTTGTACTATTATTAAATACTCTACTATAGTATAATATTACTAAACACTACATTATACTATACTATTACTATAGTTATACTAGTACTAAGTACTCTACTATACTGTGCTATTACTATAGTTATACTATTATTAAATGTTTTACTATACTATACTATACTATACTATACTATACTATACTATTACTATAGATATACTATTATTAAATACTATACTACACTATTACTATAGATATACTATTATTAAATACTATACTACACTATACTATTACTATAGTTATACTATTAATAACTACTCTACTATACTGTACTATTACTATAATTATACTATTACTAAAGTATAGTAATAACTATTAAAGTAATGGCAAAGAAACAAAGAAATTGCTAATTTTCAAATCGCAAAAGTATATGAAAAGGGAAATAAAAGTATGTATAATTCCAAATTTGTAATTTTCCATTTTCCACTACTGCATGTTAGTATTGCATAGTATGTTTGAATAGTTTGAGTTACGAAATGATTTGAATTATTATAATATTAGGATAATTAATTATTAATTGTAATGCACAACCTACCCCTACAATACTACCCCCTTCTTATCTAATCAACATCCCTATGTATTACTCAAAAATTCACCAAATACCAATTTGTTCCTACCAGAACGAATTTTCATGGAAAATGAATCACGTAAAATCAATAAACCATGGAAAATATCAATACCATTCAAGTTCCAATGGCGTGTGTCGAAGAATAAAATGCAACTGAGACGAAAAAACATAAATGAATCAGGAGAGCCTGATCCTTTGGACCCTACGGACCACGTCTCTCGCACGTGATACTCATGTTCGACCCGATATCCTACCACGAATCTTACACGACACTGTAGACGAAGAAGTTAATAATTATTAATCGAAATACACCGCTCCCAACGTCACTACCCCATAAAATACTACCCTTCCAATCCATCCGACATCCCCAAATATTTCTCCCCACCAAAACGAATTTATCTCGCGTTTGAAAATCGATAAATCACGAAAGGCATCGCGATATAATTAACAATTATTAATTCTGATACACAAACTACCCATACACGACACTGTCTTTAAAATTTAATCAACGTCCCCCATGCATTACCCAAAAATTCTCCAAATACCACTTTTTCCCGACGGAAAAGAAGTTTCTCGCATTTAAAATCGATAAACCATGGAAGACACCGAGGCACCCGTACTCTAAGGATGGTACCCGCAACGTTCAGCAAGAAAACTCGGGACAAGGCCCATTTCTCAAGCGCGTTTCGCGTCTCTGTACACCCGAAAGGGTCGATAATTAAAAGAACGGCGAACCGGTGAACGCTCGGTGCATAATAATTAATAGCCGTCGCAGGAGTCAAAGTCCAGCACGCAGGTGCATCCCCCGTGGGATGCGCGACAAATGCACGATAGTGCGCCTTAATTGGCCAGGTCGACGCGGTTTTTAGAGGCGCTGCCATTTTTTTTTTTAAGAGGGAGGAAAGGGGAAAAAGCGACGAGCGACGACGACCATAAGAAGGAAGCTGCTGGCGCGCGGATTCCAGGCCTGCCATCCTCGAGAATGGAACTTCTTCCCGGTCAACAATCCGTTTGGGTCAGCCGTTTTCTCGGACTTACGCGGTCCGCGCTAATTGCAATAAGATAATTGCCGCTGTCAGCTGTTCCTCGATTCGAGAAATCAGCGTTTCGTCGAGGATGCTTCCATGAAATTTCCGTCGGTTGCCATTTTACTCGCGGCTCCAATATGGCTCCTGATCGCAAGCTCCTGCCAAGTTTCATTAACTATCCGTGCAACGATGGATGATGGTTGTGTCCATGGAATTGTTACTTGGAATTTTTATTTCGCAATAATATTTGTATCTATTCGATATGCGTTCATATTGACAGAAATTTGGAAAATCGTGTTGTAAGAGGATAGTAATCGCCCAAAGTTTGCGTGTGGAGGAGTTAGATCCCCCCAAGATAGTGTCACGGTACGAATAAAAGTATCTTATTAGGAATTTTCAAAAATATTTCCATCTCCGTGGATGAGACATGTCCTTCGTGCGAATGCTGTCAACAAATTAATTTTTATTTGTATTACAGGGAAATTTTATTTACATAACATTGGCATCGATTTGAAGATGAGTCAATTCCATACGTGTCACCATTGATAAAAATTTGGAAATCGTGACGTAAAAAAGTAGTCAATGATTGTAGAAATTGGAAGACCTACAATACTACTTTGACTCACTGTGTGCACACAAAACTGAGTGGGAAAATCTCTGAAAGTACACTATACACTGTGTTCTGGTCGATGGGTACCAATATACTGTCAATGCAAGAATGGCAATATCACTGAAGAACAAGAAATTTCTCGTCACGAATTTTCAAATCCGATATTTGACAGCTCCCAGATCCAATTATTCTCGAAATTTTCCCAAAGTGAATATATTACCGTTGGTAACACTGTCACAACTCATCCGTGACTCACTATGCGTACACAGAGCTCTAAAAATGTGGAAGAATCACCCAAAATACACTGTACTTCGTGTTCCAACCAATAAAAATTTCTCATTACGAATTTTCAAACCCTATTCCGATGTTTGACAGCTCTTAGACCCAAATTCACTCAAGATTCTGCCAAATTGAAGATATCACCGTTGGTAACACTGCCATAACACATTCGTCACTCACTATACGTACACAGAACTCTAAAAATGTGGAAGGATACCCCAAAATACACTGTACTTCGTGTTCCAACCAATAAAAATTTCTCATTACGAATTTTCAAACCCTATTCCGATGTTTGACAGCTCTTAGACCCAAATTCACTCAAGATTCTGCCAAATTGAAGATATTGCTGTTCTCTCTTCGCAACTATGATGTAAACATTTCTCTCCGTAGACTTCCGTTCTTCGAACACGTAACTTCAGTCAGGCTGGATTGAAATACGAGGAGGAAGCGAAGTGGAGACGCGGTTACAGTGGAAGGAAAATAAGCATAGTCGTTAAATTAAACTATACGCCTGTCTCTGGCCGCGTGGAAAAAAATCCGAAACTGTAATAAATAATTTCCCCTGAGGATATACGAGCTTGCCAGGAGGTTACTATATCTATCATCTTTTATCATCGCGTTTATACGATTAAAGGGCGCGCAGTCGCAGGCGAGGAGGTATCAATCGTCCTGCGGAATAATCAGCCTCGTTACGAGGCAAATTCTGCATGACTCGACGGAATTTATTAAACCCGCTGCAAATCCTCGCTCAACTTTCACTCAAAGACAAAGAAATCAGCAGACTTCTGTCAACGCATCTATCACACGCGCCTAACGCTTCATCACCGACTGCGTCTGCATCCTAGTAATTAAGAGAGAGCGATTTGACTTCCACCGTCATTTACGGCTTTCAACTGACCGTTGCGCTTCGAAGCTTCGCAAATTTACCTCCGCGAGGCTGGGTGCGAGCAAAATTTACTACCGCGGATAAAAGAGCTCCTAAGTCTTCCGTGTCTTCTTTGAATCCCTGCTTCCGAGATCGCGGAGTCAGTCATCTCGTTAATGAGCCAGGGAATCATGTTCAGAGGTATCGGTGAGCTTCGTTAGACGATATCAGAGCCATCTAGATCAGGTCCAAGTGTAACCTCAGTGTCTACTGATCGGGAATCTTGCTATGCTTTTAAACTTGACACTTTTTAGAGATGAGGGATGTTGATATTCCTTTTAACGTAATTAATTGTGGGACTATTAACATACAGTGATGTGTATGTACATGTGGCACTATATGAGACTGGTGAAGAGGTAGTCAAAAGGGATGCGGGTGTCTAATTGGTCCTAGTCTAATAGGTCCACCTATGTTAATATAATTGTGAAGATATGCAGATTAAACGAATTCTGACAGTTAGCTGCAGCGTCACGTCTATGAATCTAATCACATTGCATATGCAGTATGACAAATCAGTGGTGTACATACACTTGACAGAGTTTGGTAGAGGATCTTTGAAAAGGATAGGGTCTAGCTGACCTCAGATACCTAAACAGGATTATGTTATACCGATTAATGCCAATGTTTAATGTCGAAAAATGCTAAAAAATGTCAATAATGAATTGGTCCAACAATGAAATCACCTCGTTATACGATATCAGAGTCATCTAGATCAGGTCCAAGTGTGTTCTCAATGTCTACTGATTGGGAATCTGCATCAGAGCCTTGATGCTCTTAGAGTTGACACTTTTTAGAGATGAAGAATGTTGATATTCTTTTTAACGTAATTAATTGTGGGATTATTAACATACAGTGATGTGTATGTACATGTGGCACTATATGAGACTATTGAAGAGGCAGTCAAAAGGCATGTGGATGTTAAATTAGACCTAACCTAATAGCTCCACCTAGTCTAATATAATAGTGAAGAATATCGAAGAATATTCCAATACAATTGTGAAAATATGTAGATTAAACGAATTTTGACAGTAAGCTGCAGTGTCACATCTACGAATCGAATACTGAATATGTAGTATGACAAATCAGTGGTGTTCATACACTTAGCAGAGTCTGAAAGAGGATCTTGGAAAAGGATAGGGTCTAGCTGACCTCAGA